GTGTGGTTTTTTTTTTTAGGTTTTTTATTATTTTTTATTTATTTTTAAATTTTCATTTTTTTACTGTTTTAAACAGACCCCTGACATTTCCCTTTTGAAATAGAAACAAAAATTGAGGACACAGAGTCCTCAATCTCTTTTTCTGCAGCCTCTGTTCTAAATGAATGTAAAGCACTCAGTACAGAGGCTTCCCATTAATTCAGAAACTAGTAATAGTAAAATATTTACTATCATCCAGTTATCAATTGGTAGAAGCCTCTGTAGTGAGTGCTACTACCCATTGAGAAACTCATGAATGAACAGGAAGTGATGTAAAGCACTTCCAGTTCATTCATAACTGGGGACACATAGTACATGTGTCCCCAGTCATTTATAAACACTGGAGTGATCAGCTGATCACTCCAGTGTTTGTACTGCACACAGAGTATCGGTAAATATCACAGATATTTACTGATCCTCGGCTCTCCATCCTGACCTGCGGGGCCATGCACAGAGCTGCACAGGAGAAGGAATACCGAACTGGGCGGGGTAGGTTACACTGAATGAAGTTACACTTCATTCAGTTCTTTTATCATCAGTGTTGTACACCATGCATGCACTACTTTTTTCAGCACTTACCATTACAACGCAGTGGTGTGAATTAAGCCAATTGTATGCTTTGCATTGGATCTTTGCATTAGGACTGCACTAAGCAAGGCTTCTCAGTGCAGCCCAAAGCAGCTGGTGTGAACCATCCATTCATAGTAATTTTAGGTTTTTTTTAAAAAATTTTAAAATAAACTAACACTAAACAATGAACATAAAGCTGAATTAAACAACACCAAATAAAGATGACGAGGGGACTAATCAGGGGCTAATTATCATCAAAGAGGGGCCATGTGGGGTTTATTAGATAACAATCTTTAATTTAAAAAAAAAAGGAAAATCTTTTTATCTCACTTTACAGGTTTGTTGCAACCACAGTGAGGGTCATATCAAGGAACAAGCTAGTGATATGAACTAACGCGGCTGCTGTACTGTAACTTTCACAAAGTTACGCTAACTAATCCTGGCAATTGGCTGCTGTAGTTATCATTCGAGCAGCTGCTTTGGTTGGCTTTTACTCACTAACTGGGAGTGAGATGTCAAGTTGGCTGCAGATTTTGTCAGGGCCATTTGCAGGAACATGGATAAAAATGACATTAAAGTAAAAAAAATTTTTCCCTCCCCCCAATGTTAGTGTCAGCAAAACCTTAAATGATGTTTCTTAATCCGATCTTCTTCTTTCCTGTCTTTTCAGCCATCCCTCCAGGGCTGCGGCGGGTGTCCGATCCAGCGCTGACTCCTCTGTCCTTGCTGCAACTTCCGATCCCACGGTGTCTGCATGCGGGTGCACTCGTCCATAGACTTACCTTTCGTCTCTCCTCGTCTCCCGGCCGAAAATCCAAACTGCGCATGCGCTCGCCCCAAGATGCTATGCGGCCTCCCGGGCAGTTTCGGATTTTCAGGCGGGAGCGCGCGGCAAAGACGGGGTAAGTTTAAACCGCTGTTAAAGCGTTTTTTTTAAACAGTAGATATATGCAAACAAAATGGAGGGTTTAGAAACCCTTTAAAGGAGAACTATGAGGTTAGGGCTTTTCCCCATATTTCTCATTAGGGTAACGGGAGGACACAAACTAGCGTCCTCCTGTCACCCTAGCGTCCTCCTGACGCCGCAGCTGAAGCGGATCCCGACAATTATGTCTGGATCCGCCCAGCTGCGTGAGTGACAGCTGGCTCTGCCTATCTAGAGGCAGAGCCAGCTGTACCCGCCCCCTCCCCCGTCCTTTCCGGCAGTCAGCGCTGGAGGATCGGAGCGGGGAGGGGGGGATCCAGCCCCTCCCCTGTCAAGGCAGAGAGCCGTGACAGGATCGAGAGGTGAGCGAACCACGGTATGTGTTCACTCACCTCCCGATCTACTGAGCCGACCTGTGACAGTCTCATTGTCACAGGTCGGCTAGAACTATGAGGTGAGTGAAAAGCACTCACCTCATAGTTCTCCTTTAATAGAATGAACAGAGCCTGTTTGTTTGTTTTTTAGATGCAATGTGCTGTAGAGAATGAAGGATGTCAAATAAATACAGTACTTACATATCATCCTTTAACCGATGCCAGTTCTCTTTCAGGAATTCCCAGGCTATGTGCCTTCCGATATCATTCTTAAACATATCCAAAAATGTATCCATTATACTATGAGCCCCATCAAAAAGGGCAGTATCCAAATAACTGTAACAACAGATTGAAACCAGTTCATTTCCAAAAAGATTGACCAGGAACTTGAGAGTTTAAAGTGATGTTTTTCTGAAAATAAACTAAAAATATCTATCTATAACCAGTCCTGAGCAAGAGGGCTTGTTCACGCCAAATCCGGACCAGATCTGCATGAGTTTCTGCACACGCAGTGCAGTGTGTTTTGCCGCATTTTTGACGTGTTCGGGGCCGCTTAAAATAAATATTGTGCCTAAAATGGGCCTTCAGGGCGTTTGCATGTGTTTTTGATGCATTTACATGTGTTTTGGTGCTTTCCAGAGCAGAAAAAATAGGGTATGCTGCAGCTTTTCCACATGCTCTGGAACTGAACACTGTGGTGTGAACTAGAGCCCAAAATACCATTGGAATACATTGGATGCATTTTTTATGTGTTCTCTAACTGCTCTGCTCGGCATCTGCTCCGCACTTGGTGTGAACAAGCCCTAAAAGAGACCCATTTTATTTAATAATGTGCTGTTCACTACATTGTTGGAACATGTTTTCATTTTATTAAAAACTAAAAAGGTTAGAATGTTTTTAAAACTAATCTGTATATATTTTGCCTTTCCTGGTTTCTTCTACCCCCTCATCGACATGCTAACAAAATTTTTACATAAAACCTATACTGAGCACTGAGCTATACTGAGCACTCTTCAGACAGTACTGCTCTCAATAGTGCTTAGCACTGATGTAAGCAGTGGGCTGTTTCTTGGGAGGAGTTATGCAAATATCAAATGCCTAGACGGGTGCTCCTAGGCAGTCAGGGAAGTGTGTTGGCAAGTTATTATTTAAGTATTATTAATGATTATTAAAATGCATTTAAACTTTAATTAAGGTGCTTTCAGGGAACCTGTGGTGCCTCCTGGGTGCACTACTGTGAGTTTTACTTAACTCATTGCAACCCTAATTCTGCTCATTTTTTCAAATGTGATTCTAGATGTTCAGCAATATGTATACCCTGAACACCAGCAAAAAGATACAGTTATGCAATGTGTTGCCTGGAACACCATAACCATGCCCGGATACAAATACAAAAGCCCTGTGCTGTCAGGCTGTGTCTTCCGTGTACTGTTTTACTAAGGCCTTGTTTACACTGGGTGATCTGCCATGCCTGCAGCAGGAATGCCAGGTGTCCTGTTTAGATGCGGCCGTTCAAGTTAATGACCGGGTGACAGTGGTCACATCTGTAGGAGGCAGTCCGCATGTAATTGTATATGATATGATATGATATATGATTACATGCAGTTTAGAAAAGGTCACTGTCCCTGTAAGCAGGATAGATGTGTCCAGCGAAAGTCATCTATTCCAAACCACAATCATATCATATACCACATGCGGACTGCCTCTTACAGATGTGGCCGCTGTCACATGCTCATTAACTTGAACAGGTACATTAGCCACATCCAAACAGGACATTCCTGCCCCAGTAATTTGTAGGTTCCTGCCGCAGGGATCCCCAATTGCTCCGTGTGAACGATAAATTACTTTTATTAAATGATGATATTCTGTTTTGTGTCTGCTTACCGATACAGCAGCCATGGCTCCTTGGTACAGCTTAAACCATGTTTCAGGTTGCTGTAGTCCCAGACATCTAAAAGGTCTGATTTGTTGAAAACATTCCAGGCATGATCCCATTCCTTTTCTCCACCCTCTGCGATACCATAGCAGTAAACTGTTCCTTTAATGGACTGTGGTATTCTGCAGAATCATAGATCATATATGAAGTATATTAAAATGGTGCTGTCAGAGGGGATCAGACTTCTTAACTAAAGTATTACAAAATGCTGCGGTAATGTGCACAGGGTAGCAATCAAAGATAGCCTATGATATTAAATGCATTAAGTAAATCAGTGAAAAATAAGCTTTCGCCGGCTGCTGTGCATTACTTTGCATTGTTCTTCACCTGTCCTAAATAAGAACTATATACTTCACCACATAGCCATGCCTTCCAACTTTCTGAGATGCGAACGATAGACACTTTCTAGCACAATGTATTTAGGTAATGGATACACCCCTGCCATGCCCTCAGTTATGCGGACCATTAAGAATTTATATGGTAATCCATATCTCCACAATTGTTGTTTTCCACCATCACTTTTTCTTTATACTGGCTTAAACATAGCAAACAAGATAATTGAGAGTTGAGAAAACATTTTTTGAGCAGAATAACACTAACAGAATAAATAGTACATTTCCTTTTATATCTGTACATCAAACCAAAAAGAGGGACAATTGAGGGAGAAAGAGGGACAGGGGATTTGGTTTCAAATGAGGGACAGTTGGGATGTATGTCTAATGCTTAAATTATACCATTCATAAGAAGCAGCCACTGCCATCCTTTCCTTTTCAGAAGGTTTGTTCCTGGCTGTCTTGCTGATGCTTTGGCTTCAATGCTTTCCGGGTCACTGACTTGTAACAAGCATAGCCTAGGGATTTGCCCCAAGCAGGAGTGTTCCTAATCTAAACTTAGTGTTGCTACTAGGCTGTAGTCAGCATGAGCATAGATTAGCAGTTCTGCTTTCCTCAGGTATGCCCTAAGCTCAATTTTTATTTTTTGCTTCTGCCTGGTGTTGTGGAGTATCCCTAGCAATAGTGTGAAAAGATACAACAATTCTGAGTAATTAATATTTACAGTATGTCTCCCTGTCCAACCACTAAGAGTTTTTTTGCCAGTGGTACATGCTGGGAGCAAGATATACATATTTGGGGTGATCATTTGAAAGCTCTCCTGTCCTACCTCCTAGGCCCTGCCTAGTGAGGAGGTATGTGTAGCTGTGTTCTCTCTTGCCTCCTGAACTTTTGCCAGGAGAAGAGGCTGTGTTTTGCTTTCTCTGTCCTCTCAGGACATATCCAGGGACGAAGTACATGATGGTGAAATATTATCTGCTGAAGAGCGTCTGGAAGAGGCACGAGCTGGGGACATTGCAGGGAGTTCTAGTGGCTCAACCAGGGAGTATGTCTGCCATTAAATCTTCTAAACAGTCTAAAGAATAGCGTGTTGGTTTGGCGTAAAGGTCCTTTCTTCTGTATTGACTGTAAGTAGGGTCTGGTGTCTGCATTGTGGTCTTTTGGAGTATCCTGTGCACTAATTCCTCTCTCCCTGAGTTTATTTGTGTCTGATAAACTCATTAAGCATTCTAAAATGAGTGGTGTCTAGCTTCATCCACCTCAAAAAGAGTAAACAAATTGCCCTGGAGTGAAATGTCAACCCACCGGCCACTTATGTGTCCCCAACCACCTCCAGGGTACCACAAAAGAAATTAGCAACACAGACACTTTTCTGTGTCATGTAAAAAGCATAGCCAAGCAGCTATCATTTTCAAAAGGTACCCCGTCATGGCATCTTTCACACTTTCCTCATGACAGGTGTGCTTTAAGATGGCTCAGCCAAACCCTGCCCACAAAAGTCAAATCCCTACCTGCTTTCAGCACAGCTACACCTAATTGCCAGGCCTCATTGTTGTCATGTTGGGACAGATCTTATGTACGCTCTGACCAAATCATCTCCCATTACAGATGAACAGCAATTTCACCTTTGCTAAAATGTTAGCCTTGAATATCACCATGCACTGCAAGGTAAATTAGCTTTATCAAAAGAGTTTTCCTTTACAGCTAGGCATGTGTGGTAATCATAATGCTCTTGGCATGATTTTACTGATAAATAAAGCACTGTGATCATTGCACATTATTAGTTTTAAAGGGAAACTTTTAATGGTAAAATTGCCTTGCCTATATATAATCCCTGACATTCCCTCTGCTCCACAAAACTAATTCACCATGCCTAAATATAATCTCTGGAGTCCCCTCGAATCCACAAAACAGCTTGGTCCTTCAGCAACCTATCAGCAGGGATAAAAAAAACATGAGCATTTCCTATATAAAAGCCAGCATAAAGGAGTGGGCAAAGCAATGGGTAGCAAAATAGGATTACTCTTGAAGGAAACTGTTCCTGGCTCAGCTATCAAATTTACTTTTTGTTGGCAATCTACTGCAAGATAACCAAACATCATTATTGCTTAAGACAACCCTTACTGTAACATTATCTCACCTGGCAGAAAAATTGACAATCAATTTTAAACTTGTATTGCAAAACAAAACCTTATTATTGAGAAAACTGTTCCTGGATCTGTTAGATACGTTATCTCGCTTGGCAGAGAAACAGACAAATGCTGCGACTTTGAAGATCATAAAAATAACTCACTGTTTCTTGATAAGGCTGTATTAGATTATTTGTTCTGAATTTTGTTGCTTGGTAGAGAAGCTATTTATTTTTTGGGATTTTATTTTAGTTGTGGTATGGTACAAAGGTTTCACTGAACTGCAAGCATCTACTGTAGTCAAAAATGTAAAAACCAAACATCCAGCATTTTACACACAACCAACACCAGGCTGCCATTCAGTAGAGAAAACAAATAAAAGTTAAATCTAAATCCTCCTCTTTCCCCCGGGTCTATAAATACAGAAAATATACTTCTCTCTAAAGTACAAATAACGGCTCCTGTATGACTGTCTAAACAAGTACCAAATCCAGTTACTATGTGATGCACAATTAAACTTAAACTAAAGTAAACTGCCTTAGCAACATAGGCAGTGGGTACGGCTAGGTGTGGCCTGGTGCTGACTGACAAGCTATGGGCTTGGAAATCAGTTTTGAAATGCTAATAGCCATGCCCCTCCAACATTTGCTTATGCCCCTTGGGTTGGGTTCTGAGGAAGGGGGCGTGCCCCAGAAACATGTAAACCGAGACCACACAAGGGCAGTGGACGCTGATGCTGCACATCTTTTCAGACTTCCGCTGCTAGATGATTTGACATCCCATTGTTTTCTACATGCCTTTTTACTACCGACTTCTTGTAAGCACATTACAGTTGTGCGTTTTTATCATTAAAATTCGTTTTACACTATAGAGGCGCTCCTTTTTGTTTTTTGTGGCCTGGTGCTGACTGACAAGCTATGGGCTTGGAAATCAGTTTTAAAATGCTAATAGCCATGCCCCCTCCAACATTTGCTTATCCCCCTGTAATGCAAGCAAGCACAGCCCACATGAGAGTGGTAACTCTGAATTTGGGAGCAATGTAGCATCATTGCCACACCATCATATGAAACGGCATTAGGTGGACTTTACTGGAAACTCAATAGGTATTTGTGGGACTTTTTAAGGGGACAAGGAGTAGACTATAAGTGCAGATGCACATATAATTAAGTGTACATGCAGCACATGTTTTTTTAATTAGAGGCCATAGTTCTACTTTAAAGCATTTCTCTCCTTTAGAAATATTTTTCCTCACTTTCTGTTCTGGAGATAACGTTTTACCAGACGAACAGTGAGGGAAATTCTGTGACAAGCAAAAAGACAACAATGAAAAGCTGACAGACGTTCTAGCATTCGCCTCCTTAACTTTAAAACATATATACATTTCTGTCTATGTTGCTGTTAGAGAGATTTTTACCAGGCAGGAAGTGAAGGAATCTCTCCAATGAAGTCTCCAACTGCAGTAAAACCTAATAGGAATTCTACTCCTTCCAGACTCTTTCCAAAATAAAATTTAAAAAAATTGGCTATAGATACACTGTAAATATATTCAAGCACCTATAAAGCCTTGGAAATGAAAAGCACTTTCTAAATTAGCCTTTGGAAAGTATTATTTTTAAATCATATTTTGTAAGTTTTCACGTTTTTGCAGCATGGAATTTCTAGTGTATTTGATCCTTATTGCTACAGTAGTGGGGCTGATGGGTCTAAGGTTGTTGCGCACCACAGCATTTCCCAAAATAATTATCCATGTTTGCTTACTGCATGTGTGAAACGCTTTTGTCTGTGTGCAGTGTTTCCGTCTTACTACACATTGAAATCAGTGATGTCACTTGAGGAAAAGGCACCCACAAAATTTTCGGGGTTGGATGTAGGAGTTTCATTATAAGATTCATATCATATAAGAATTAGTGGAAACTAATTATTGCAGAAATAAAACTCAAACTCTCAAGAAGGCTATAGGTTTTCTTCCAAGGGGTAGTTACTTGTGCTTCACAAACACTGCAAACCTCAACTGAGTTAAGGAGTGATTTTGCAGGATATCCTGGCAGTGGGCAATATAAATAAACTAGAGAGTAACCACAAGGGTGTAAAGGAGACAACTGTTCCTAAAGCCATGAGGACAGGGAACCAACCACAACTCTACCATCCTTTATTTGCCTTTGTGTAAAAATAAATAAACCTTTTTCCATTCTCTAATGCCCTGGCTGAGCTTTCACTAGGCTTCTAAAGTCTGCAATTTGAACCGTTATGCATTTTTATTATCCATTTGCACCTTAAGGGAAAACACATGACAATTAATTTTTTTGTAAGACATGAGAGGGTCTAAGTTTTAAATTAGCTCCAGGACTTGGTGGCTTCTTTTGACACATGTTCAGGGGAGATCGCTCACTGGTCAATGTTCTTATGAGATCTGCCTATAAGCATTCCATGAAATTTCCATGCATCTTCAAACTCATTATTTAATAGCAATTTGTCTGAGCAAGTGTTAGGATAAGAAGTCTACAAGAGAATATTGGATGAAAAAAGGCTTTATGCCTTGGATTTGACCTGTACTCTCCTCTGACCCTGACATCCAGTCTAGAGGAAGCATTAGTAAAGGTGTGATGCCCAGGAAATATGGTAGCAGGCAAATGCTATACAAAGATATTTTTTATTATCACTATTCGATTAAATATACCAAAAGTTATTTAAAAGTTATTTCACACTGAGATTGGCTAAGAAAATGTTCAGTGTATATACTACATCTTTTACCCTGATGAAGGGACCCTGTGTGGCCCTGAAATGTTGGCTTTTTTTCATGGTGACGATTTGTCCAAATAAATGGACATATTGAATGGATATTATTGAGTGCTGGTGATTCTTGTCCTTTACAGTGTATATACTACACATATACAGTAAAAATACATAACTTACTCATTACTGGAAATGTTAGCCATCCATTTGGCATAAATGTCGCTTGCCATACTCAGACAGTCTTGCAGCCCAAGGGAACAAGCAGTTTTAAAAATAATGTCAATTCCTGTACTTTAAAGAAGAAGAAAAAAGTGCATACAAAATGCTTAAGTGAATAAATACATGTTTACCATATAATTCCATTTTATATACAAACTAATTAAGTGTCAGCGTGGAAAACTGTAGAATTGTCATTATATAGTAGGGAAACAATTAAAGCCTAGCTCTATCCTCACCTTTTTTTATTGGTGAAGGGTTAAAATATCACGTCAGGTTTATATTCGTATTTTCCCAATACTTCTCCCAGTGACACCTTGTCACATTCTGATTCACAAGGTGTCACTTGGACACAAAATTAACAGAAATCTCCTTTCTGGGAAGATAACAGAAACCCTAACTCGTGCTGAAATTCTTCCCCTTTAGCTTTTTTTTTTTTTTTTAACTGTGGCTGTACTGTCTGATTTTACAAGCTTCTACTGACCCTGTAATGAGAGTTATTAAAGGATAACCATTGACTTTTACATTTAAGAATTATTTCGCTTTTACATCGGCATTACCTATGGTCTGTTGTTTAATAGATAAGATTTCATATACTAGTCTTTTGTGTAATTGAGGCAAATTACATTCCCCATCTGAGTTTTTTTGCCTTATTCCCTTGGAAAAAAACTGTTGCATGATGAGCACATCTTCTGTATGTATATATGGAGTGTATAAATGATGTGTTTTAAAAAATTAAGTGAAAGTCAGGTTGATCAGCTCTGTATGTGTGTGTAAGACTGGCTTTCCATTATTGGAGCTGTAGGCATACAACCATTGGCAACATTCTTCTTCTAGGATCAATTGTGTTATACAGAACATTTCCTTGCTTTACTGGTCATAACCTGACTATTGTGACAATAAGTAATTATGGTAATATGGCCAGCTGTGTTTCTACTCATTCTGGAAAAAAAAATACGTGGTCCACAACTTCTTTAAGGAAAATCCACCTCTTTGCACCTATAGACTCAGGGCTACTGTGCCTAATTATATATATGGACCTGTATATATGTATGGCTGTACTATTGAATGGGATACATTTGTAAAAATAGGAATTTTGTACTTACCAACAAAATACTTTTCTCTGCATTCAGTTGAGGACTAAGCTGGATCTTTAGGGTTATAGTGTCATCTGGAGGAGTAGGACGCTAACCTGTGTGCCAAAATGATAGCCACTAAAAAGGCCACTTTTTGAGAAAGGGTCAGCAATGTCCTGAATGTCCTCAAAGGAAGGTTTTTGAAGAGCTGACAGTGCCAATATCAGGTCCCACAGAGTCAACAGTGTTTTTTCAGGGGAACAACATGAGTAACACCCTGTATGAAAGTATGACCAAGGGAGTGAGTAGCCAGGGTGTGTTGGAAGAAGACAGCCAAGCGGGAAACCTGACCCTTAATAGTAGGGATAAACCAATACCGATGCTAGTATCAGTATCGGTGCCCATACTGAGTATTTGGGCGAGTACTCATACTCGCCCAAATACTCAGATACCTTCCCCAATTCCAAAACTTCTCCTCAAGGGGGGATTTCCTCTAAATGGCAGTGCCACGAGGAAACATTTAGGCCGGCTTCTTGGCCAATCAGGAATTGGCGGGCTCTGTGCTGTTTGGCTGGCTCGATGCTGATTGCCCAGGAAGCCTCCCGGCTTTCTGATTGGCCGGGAAGCTGGCTCTATGCTAAATGTGCCTAAGTAGCACTATAACCCATCGGTCTAGTTTTAAATATCCAGATGTGGCCGTCATTAAATGGAAGAAAATGAGAGTGATGTCACCACCCACTTTGCAAAGTCAAGGTGACAGTCTCTTTAAACTGCAACAATACAGTCACTTATGTAATTGTGACTCAACACAATTGATATGTGATTCGTGAAACTGTGATTCTACCCCCGGAAGTGTTATCTTTTGCGAGCTGTTAAATTGCTTTGATAAAAATGCTAACATAGTGGTAACGTGCTTCCTATTCTGCGTATTCTTCTTATTATTTCTGCATAAGTGTAGAAATAATTACTTAAAATAGGTATAATTGTACGGTACTTACTGAACAAAAAAGTCATCAGCAGTTTCATCAAAATTTCTTTGAACAATACTTGAATAATGTTGGAATATTGGTTTAATTCTTTTTAAAATATATTTCTGAAACAAACAAAAAACAGAGTAAGTTCAACTGTGTGCATACATTTAAAACATTCCTTGCTTTCTGTAGTTTAAGCCTCCAGGTAATTGGATTTTGTAGAACAGAACCAGGCACAAACTGGCAAAATGGCATTTATATGTAATTTAATAACAGAAACATGGTACAGGAAACTTGTGGAACTGACTGGAACGGCAAATCTACAAATCTGTATCTTTACTACAGTAAGGTAAATATTGTACAGAAAGCATGTAAATGTCAGTTAGGTTAGGGCTACATTGTCAAATGTATTAGCTAGCTAGCAATAAATGTAACTCCTTGCTGACAACTACAGCAGTAACAATAGATGCACTGCAAATTAAGCAGTTGTCAATAAGAAGACAGTGCCAAGGGCTAATAAAGTTTTGTACTTTAATGCATGTGTTTGAGTAGTGTAGAGGACGGCAAGGCTGGGTCTTGGATGGGAGATATATATCTCGACTGTTTGGGTTGTGGTCCCTTTAAGGGCCACCACAGGGTTAACCTTCCTGCACCAGGAAGGGGTTTAAAGGAGTGTGGGAGTTGAGGAGGAAGTGATCAGCTGTGGCTGTGAGAGAGACCTGCTGTGTTGCTGTGCTGTGCTGACAGGACTTATATTCCTGGGAAGGGATTCCCCCAGGTTTGGGACTTTTTCCAACAAGTCGATGAGACACATTTATGTTTTGTTATTGGACTGTTACTTTGAGTTCACTGAAGATAAGTGTGTATTTTGTGTTTACCGTGTTGGCTGCCCTGCAAGAGGAAAATAAAAGCTTTTGTGTTATTCAAAACCCTCTGTGCGAGTGCTCCTGTGAGCTCCCCAACATCACAGTAGACACAATGTTCAACCCTAGAAATGCCTTTGTAGTCCTTGCTTTACAAAAAGATTATTTTAAACAATATAATAGTAAATGGGCTTATATTCAATGATTTCCTGAACAATTTTCTAGCATTTTCCCTACATTTTAAATTATGTGACCTATCTTGCATGATATTATTAGATAGCAGGTGTCATCAGTGCTTGTTGAAATATCCAATCAGGATATGACAATGAACATAACCCGAGAGACTGCTTCCTTCCAAATCTGGATCCCACTTATTTGCCAGTACACATATACTGTATACACAGTGTGGTTTTAAAGAATCCACAACCCAATAGTTCCATATAGAAGGGCAAATAAGCAACCCTCTGAGCCATTCAATTTAGACCTCAGGTGCTATTAACAGCTGTGCACTTTAGATTTGGCGTATGAATGTTTTGACATTGGTGGCACATATGACATGCATTTTATATGCATTACCATTGAACGTGTGCAATTGCTGGAAAGAAGTCTTGTTTTATTAAGTAAAGGAAATAGGGAGCATGGTGCCAGAATCAATGTTATTGACACTGTCTTTTTTATTAATCATATAAGCAGTTATATTTGCTACCTTATACTAACGTCTGTAACTCCATCTGTATTCACAACTGTATTTCACTTTTACATTAATAGCTACAAGATAAATGACTACACTGCCAGCAAAAGAAAACCAGAGTGTTGTGACTCAGCTGGTGCTCAGCATCATTCCCTTTCATAATTTTTAGCTAAAATACACACAAAAAATTGTAAATTAAAGTTAATTTAAAGGCCAGTCATTCCAAAGTGGTATTTTAGTTATAGGTGCAGCCTAGCAGACTGAGTCTGTCCGTGGCTTTTTACATGTCTTTGTTGCTCCAACAGGGAGATCTCCCTAACATAGTTCCTGCCCACCTGGACGTTTTGGGTGTTCCCAACCACTTTTGTGCATTCCAGTGCCTCCTGTTGCATGCTCTATATAGATTAAAATCAATAAAAAATCCAATAGGAAGGGGTGATACCCATCCATAATGACCACAATAGTTTTGGAGATCCAGGAACCCAAGAACCAGTTTCTCACCTAAACTGCTAATTCACAGTGGTGGGTCCGTGGTACGTCCATGGTACTGTATATGGATTCTGGGCAGTTGGTGAAAGTAAAGCAGTTTATGTGGAGCAGAGTTAAGGGGTGCACAGTTTGGTCAAGCAGTTTATGTGGTACAAAGTGGCATAATAAAGGTAATGTGAAGACAACAAAGGAGTGCACAGGGGGGTGATACAGGTGGTGTTGAAATGAGAAAGGGGTATACAGTGGCAGATGGCAGTAGTGAGACGTTGTCAGAATAATTATGTGGGTTGTATGGATCCAGTAGAATGTTACACAGTGGGGTAATGCAGATTGTATGGATCTAAAAGTATGGTACAGGTGGGGATATTGCAGGTTGTGTGGATCCAACCAAAAGGAGCACCGTGGGGTGATGCCGCTTGTATGGATCCAACACAGTGGAATACAGTTGGGTTGACTATTGCACCTCCCTCCTCATTGGCTTACCTCTACACAGGCTATCCCCCCTTCAGTCTATCATGAATGCAGCTGCTAGACTCATCCACCTAACCAAACGCTCAGATTCTGCAACCCCCCCTCTTCTGATCCCTGCACTGGCTTCCAATAGCCCAAAGGATAAAATTCAAAATATTAACAATCACTTACAAAGCCATCCACAACTCTGCCCCTGGCTACATCTCAAACCTGGTCTCAAAGTATCACCCTCACCGTCCCCTCCGCTCTTCAAAAGATCTTCTGCTTTCCAGCTCCCTCGTCAACTCCGCCCATGCTCACCTCCAGGACTTCACTAGAGCCTCTCCCATCATATGGAACTCTCTACCCCAACCTGTCCATCTATCTCCCACTCTGACTGCCTTTAGGCGATCCCTTAAGACTCATCTCTTCAAGGAAGCCTATCCCACCTCAACCTAACCACTGAACTATCACTTTCTCAAATAATTCATCCCCACGCAGCTACCTTCTCATGTATCACTTCCCACACCCTTTAGATTGTAAGCCCTCAGGAGAAGGGCCCTCCTGGCCATCTTGTCTTGAATTGTATTGTAATTGTAATGTCTTCCTTATATAGTAAACTGTTGGCGCTATATAAATCCTGTATAATAATAATAATGTAAGTTGTATGGATCCAACAGAAAGGGCCATAGTGGGGTGATGCGGTGGTGTAGAAGTGGCATGCACAGTGTAGTAACAAAAATGTACCAATAAACAAATTATAATTACTTTTATAAGCGGAAAAGAATGATATGTCACCAGGGACTTTTTGTAGTAATGCATGTGTTTCAGAGCAATGTACCATACAATTACTTCCATTTCCTGTTCCAGGTATCTTGTTAAACTGAGGGCAGTTTCATATTCTAGGTATCCAGAGCTATAAACATAAAATAAAAAAACAGGGTGCATTAAACACAATAATGCTGGCTACAGACCTTACAACCATCGCAAGACTTTTGTCTTACGATGGTTGTAAGGTAATTAAAAAAACGTACGATCTGCTCATCTTGGACAGGCAGATCGTACTTGCGATAATTGCAAGCCCGCCCCGCTGAGGGGCGGGCTTCCGATGACCGCAATGCTGAACGGGCAGTGTGCGCTTGCGCACACCGTCCCGTGCGGCATTTATCGTACGAACATGACACACACCCGCCGACAATCGTACTGTTGTCGGCGGGTTTTCGAACATGTTCCTAAGATAAAAGTCGTGCGACCGTACAGTAGAAACGGTCGCACTCCTTTCACACACCTTGCGATAATCGTACAATCGCGGGATTTCCCGCGATTATCGTACGATTATCGCAAGGTGTGTGGGCACCTTAAGGGGAATTTAGCAAAACTGATGCAGACAAAATCTGGAGCAGCTGTGCTTGGCAACCAATCAGCTTCTCTCTTTCATTTTCAAACCTTAAGTGAGCAAACTGAAGAGAGAAGCTGATTGGTTACCATGCACAGCTGCTCCAGATTTTGTCTGCTCCAGATTTGATAAATTCCCCTTAATGTTTCACTTCTTATTCACACACAGGTCATAATCACAAACCGAGAAGATTTAACTCTAAATCTCCTTCTTACTTCCTGGTACCTTGACATTTATTACATGTCAATACCAATTATTTCAGGAAAGGAAAATGCTAAGTAATAATTACAGCCAATAATGACAAAATTAGAAATAAATAGACTTAAAAAAATAAAATAACCAAACCAACTGTTGCTGCAATATTGCACTTAAATTCAGAGATTTCTCCCACAGTACTTTTTCTGCTGCTAAATATCCTGATGGGCAGTATAATTTAGCCCACTTCCTCTGAGACCAGGGGACCAACCCCAGACTCTAACTGGACAGTAGGAGGAGAAGCAGACATTCTGAATGGCTCATTGTACTGCTTCTTACTTTCCACTATACAGGGACTACAATAAAATGATACTAGGTCAAATTAATTTACTTACACTGCTTGCATTTAAAAATTACATTTAATGATGTATAATTAATTACAGAGATGCATTCATTTGTGTCTTATGTATTTGCGTACAATTTAGCTTCAAATGTATGTGGAGTACCAGTCAGTGTAACAGACATGTTCAGTAGAGCTCTGTCTAGAAGGAGAGATTTAGGGGCTGATTTACGAAGCCCAACACGCACACGCGCAGGCTGCGTGCGCGTTTTAACACCCTCACTTTCTGTTCATGTGATTGCGGTCACAATGACATAAAATCTATCCAGTGAATACCCTTCCTCACACTATCCAATATAAAAATAAGTTATATTAGGTTATGCTGAGAGAAGAGATAGATAGATAGATAGATAGATAGATAGATAGATAGATAGATAGATAGATAGATAGATAGATAGATAGATAGATAGATAGCTATGGCCCTAGTACCAGTTTTCTAAATATTCCACTTTCTACTCACTTTGCCAGCATAAAGGCATCATCCATAAGCTGAATTCTGTTTACCACTGGCAGCACCTGTATAGTGAATAAACATGATGTCAGAATCCATGGCAGTGAATGAACACACATACTTATTAAACACTAAACATTTTGAATTTCATTATTTTATCTCTGGTTAGAATAGCTGCAGCAGAATCATGTTCTCTGCTACAATGGTAGAGCAGCAAAGCAAGCTCAAACACATTTATAAAAACAGGAACAAATATAGAGCTGATGTCCTCAGCAATTAACCAGAAACCCTTTGTATGCAGGATGAAATCTGATTGGATGGACAAACAGCTCTTCTTTTGCTTACAGTATATCTAAACCCAATGACACAAAATGTAATACATTGCAGCTTACCAGTCCTTAGATATGGTAGCTACATCAATGTTCTTTTTTTTAAACCTTTTTTATCTTTCTTTTCACCTGGTAATCCTAACGTTGACAACACTCACTAATTTGACTGTGTCTATGGAACAGCAGCGCTGTGTGTTGAGAGTACAGAACACCTCCCTCTTTCCTCACCTCAATAGCATAGGGGAAAGAGTCCACAGAGGTGAACTGAAAGTGTACAGGAAGTAATAAGGTCACTAAATGTTTTTGCAGATCAACAGATCCTACGATAGATATATCAAAAAAACTTTCCATGGTATATTTAACATACCAAAAGGTCGCAAATAAGAGATGTTAATTGTTAGGGTTTACATACACTTTGGACCAGTTTTAGAAAATGCTTTTTAATGTTTTAGACTAGTTAGGAATACCTCACTCTTCACCTCTGCACAGGTACTACCAGTGAACTTCTTTTACGCATTACCTGTGGGTCTTCTTCAAGTGTTTTTGCAAGATTATTCCAGTTTTTTTCATCGTAATTTATTCTGTAGTACCCAGTTACATCAATATTTAATATAATCCATTCGTTATCCATTGCAGCCATTTCTGGGACAGTTTCTGAAAAGGAGAAAGTAAGACTACATTTTGAATGGTAACCAGTATTTAAAACCATTAGAAAGCATTGTTCAATATATATTGTCATCATGGTAGCAATTTCAAAGTAAGATATGAATTTATTTGCAGCAAAGTAACAAGATTTGTGTACTTACCATAAAATCTTTTTCTGAAAGTCCAGAGACTTGGGACACAGGAATGTTGGAATTCTTTTACAGCTGGGTTATATTGCAGGAGGTTGGGCAAACAAAAAACACTTGAAGATCAGGCCCTGTATAAACCCTCCTCTACCCAGCATGCCTCAGTTTTACAAGCAAGCAGAATATAGGGCCAATAACACAGAGGTGCAGGACCTGTGTCCCTCAATGGGCTCAAATAAAAAGAGAGTTTACTGTTTATACAATACTGGTTTTTTTTTTATTGCCCTGGGACACAGGAACTTAGCAATTCTATTACAGCTGTGACATCCAAAAGCAGTCCAACTGAAGGGTGGGAAACTGCAAAGATCAGAACTGTCATGACCAAAGAGAAGACAGAGAATCAACTGGATGCTCCGGAGAAGGATAAGAAAAGAAAAAAAACACTGTCAAGGAGAACACCTTACCTGCGTTCCTGGGGGGAACCACTCTTAAAGGAAAGTTCCTGCCAAGGAAGGTAGCATTCCCCAGAGTTAAAAAAGACCTGGATGGATACATCCTTAGTAATAGCCTTATCAAAAGATTGGTGAGAACCAACTAAGCAAATACTCAGTTTCAGCATTCTAGCCTGATAGCTACTGGACATACTGTATGTGCCTAAAACCCTGAGGAGGTACACTGTTGCAGAACCCAGCTGATGGAATTAAAAGCCCCCTACTTGAAGAAAGGGGGCACACCTTCTTGCAAAACGGCAAGGACCTGTGGATTCAAGCCCTAGAACTTGAGTGGAAAGAAGGTTCGGACTGCCTACAATCTGCTACTACTGTAGTAGACCGAGGAGAAAGGGGTCATTCCGCCCCTTCCACTGACCTCCCTCATAGAGGCTGTAGTACACTTTGACCACCAGTGGCATTCCTAAGGATATAATTGACTAATTAATTGAAGCCAAACTTCAGCTAACACTTTTAAAAGAGAACTATGGAGTAAGTGTTTTTCCCCATAGTTCTCTTTAGGGTCACGGGAGGACATATACTAGCGATATAGGACATATACTATTGCCCGCTATATACTATGAGCGCCGCAGCCAGGACGGATCCCGACATTACTATTGAGATCTACCTAGCTGCGTGAGTGACAGCTGGCTCTGCCCATCTAGAGGCAGAGCCAGCTGTGCCCACCACCTCCCGATGTCTGTTCCTCCACTCAGCGCTGGAGGATCGGAGAGGGGAGGGGGGGGGGAATCCCTGCGGGCAGCGGTGACTGACAATCACTGCTCTCTGCCGGGAGACGATCGAGAAGTGAGCAGATCGTGCATGTTTCTGCTCACTTCCCTATGGATAGAGCCGACCTGTGACAGCTTCTTTGTCACAGGTCGGCTCTAACTATGAGGATGAGTGGAAATCACTCACCTCATATATCTCCTTTAAGCAGTTACAGAAACAGTTTTTTTTTCTTTAAGGATAAAGGTTTTAACTCTATGAATAAAAACTGATCATTGTAAGTACATCTGTCAGTGTTAAATGGTTTATATTAACCTTCTCACTGTCATCTTTGCTGGTCAGCTTGGTCCATTAAAGGAATTTTAAAAATAAAAGATCTATTGGCAGCATCAACAGGTAAAACAACTATATTATGGGGAAGATTTAGAGGAACAAAAACGGATGTGTTAATGTTGGTGATGGAGTGCCTCATACTGTATATATATTGTTTGATTGTGCCTAAATTTCCACTTTAACTGTTACCAAACTAACATGGCAGTGATTGGAATTTAAAAAATGGTGGAGAGCTCTCAGTGCTTTAGCCTGACCGTCCTTATTCAAATATATGAGTCTTCAGACACTGGGTAACACCAGAGGCTCTGCTACATCTCCTGAACCACAATGCAGATCTCAGTGCCCAAAGGTCACATTCCAGGTTAGCCCATTAATCCTCTGTCCAGGGAGTCCAGGTATAGCCTTCAAAGCTGTTGCTGAGAATATGCTGCTATGTAGGGAGTAGCTCAAGCAACAGTGTGGAATTCTTGAATGAAGTCACAGGAAAAATGATCAGTGGTATATCAAGGATATTGAAACAAGACACTAAATGAGGCAGAGCTGAAGAACAAAGCATTCTACCGCTTAGGACACTAGCAAAACACTGCTGGATAGAGGAAGGGTTATCTAGGGTCTGGCCTTCAACTATTTTTGTTGGCCAGTATCCCAATCTCCTGTAGGTGGCAGTATAATCCGATGGTAAAATAATCCCTCAATTCCTATGTACCTTAATTGTAAATTATGTCATGAAAATCCTAGGCACTAATGATTAGGCCTTTTTCATAAAATGTGTTGGATACAGAAGCATTTCTGATTCCTGTGGATCTTGTGGTTTTACACCCAGCTTTCAGACTCTCTCCTTCTGGCAACCACTGGGGAAAGCAATGAATGCCAATGCATTTACAGCTGACTTTAGGATAGTTGCAGGAGAAAGTATTTGACCTAAAAGCTTTACAAAAGGTGAATTATAGAAATTAAAGTGTATATAAAACAAAAATAAAAACAAAAAATGGATAGCACATGAACTGGATAAAACCCTTTAGTCAAGTTCATTGTTGCCATCTGTGACCTATTGGGGAGATTCCCTTTACCTCCTGTCTTTTAGACACAACAGAAAGTGAGAGTAAATGTCTTCAAAGTGAGGGAAACTCCTCTTAGATAGCTGTCACTGGAACAAGCATGACCACTGGAAGATTTCCCCTCTATTCCTGTTCAGGGGAAAACTCAACATTTTGGATTATTCCTCACTTTCACGTTTTGTGGTCAGCAGGAAAACGCTAGGATGAATCTCTCCAATTAGGACACACACAGCAATCAAATCTGACAGGAGTTCTAACCCCTCCCTATCCACAAGTAACAAAAATGGTACATAGTGTGAATCCAATGAAATGATTTGGGTTGGTGAATTATAATGACACCAGATTTGTCAACTTCTATCATGTGTATTAAGCTAATCTTCTGTAGAAAATTCTGTTTCTTGCAAAGGTTTGTGAAATATTTTTTCTGGCCTCCTTTATAATTACATAATTTACATACAAGACATGTAAAGAAGACCATATATACTTACTCGTCTTAGTGTCTAGCCATACTGTTGGCTGCTGTACTCCATTTTTCATCCAATAGATGGGAATAATCCATGTATGACTGTATAAAAAAGTATATAGTTCATTTATATGTATCAAGACACATATGCTTTTTAAAAACTTCCAAGATCAAATACAGTCACAAAGGCCTGTGTCTGGTAGATAGGGGATAGGCTTGGGGCCAGGACTGTGCATATTTTAAGCTTTTAAATTGCTTTCATTATGTGAGTATAGGTTCATAAAAAAATACATTTTGATCTGCCAAATCCTAATCTGAAAGGATCATTTAACAGGAAACCTAAGAAAGAAAATAAGCTTTATAAACCCCCCACACATGCCACACTACAGCAAATGTTACTGGGAGAATGTAAATGCATTTAAAACTATATATCTCCGTGATGTAGAACTTACAGCCAAATTCACTCAAAGGCCTAGCTATAAATGTTTTCATCTAAAATTTCACATAAGGTATTGTAGCCCCTATATATATATATATGTGTGTGTGTGCTACTGTAGAGAACTGTGTTTTTTGACTACAAACAGTTAATTGCCTCTGTGTGTCCTGGAGGCGGGGTCTTATGGGGATTGCAGTGCAGAGCAGATATGGATACATTGCAGAAGGATCTCTGAAACTGCAACTCCCAGGAGGCTGCGCAGGGGAGAGGAGGAGGACTGTGGGCGGTGGCTGCTGTATGCAGTCAGTCTGGGACCGTATAATTTTAAAAAAAGTGTGAATCTTTGGTAAAACCAAAAGATTCTTAAGTATAATGATTGATATTTCCTATAACAATCATTGGTTACACTGCGGAACAAATGTTTTCTTATTTTCTGTTGCATGAGATTTTTCAACTGATTCTAAGTATTATTTTCAAAGCTGATTTCAAATATGAAATCGGTTTTCCTCCACATGTTCTAGTTTTCATGCAATTTGACATTTGTGATTTTCGCAAAAAAAGGACACCCATTGCAATTTACACTAGGGATAGCTTGAGAACTAGGCTTACATCTACCCTAACCTTAGACTAACTAGGCTATTTTGTTTATAAACAGCAATATTCTTTTATCTTTTTTCGGTAATTGTGGATAGTAGAGATATATTTGATTTTCTTGATGAAACAGTTTGCAAGAGCATTAAGTACTGATGGTGGATTTTTCAACATTTACTGTAGTTTCTGCTTTTCCTGCTTTGTCTTTCACGAAGATCAAAGCAGGTGTGTTTGATGGACCTCAAATTCGTGCCCTTGTACATGATTACGAATTTGTCAGGAAGATGAATGTCAAGGAGAAGGCAGCATGGCTATATTTTGTGGCAGTTATACAAAACTTTCTTGGTAACAAAAAGGGAGATAACTATGAGCTTCTCATTACAAGAATACTGTTGGATTTTCGCATTTGGGTGTAACATGAGTGTCAAGCTCCATTTCCTGAATATTCACCTTAATCAGTTCCCCCGAGAACCTTGGGGCTGTTAGTGATGGGAGGAGAGCATTTAAAATCAAGACCTCATGATGATGGAACAGTGCTATCAAGGGCAATGGGACAAAAATACACTGAGTGGCCAGATTATTATGACCACCCCATTAGTACTTTGTTGGGCCACGAGATGACTTTGTTGGGCCGCCTCGTGACTCCACGAGATGTTGAAAGGTGATGCGAGGAATCCTACACTGCACTGTTGCCCTTCTGTTGTCTTGTACCAGTCTTGACACTCTCCGTTCTGCCCTAACATTGACTAGTCGCTGACGGCCACAATTCGCACGTTCAGACCCAGATTTTCGGCTGACAGTCCAGTCTTTAAACACTTTAACAACAGCTGCTCTTGAACATTTAACGAATTCTGCTGTTTTGCTGATACTTGCTCCATGGCTCCGAGCACCAACAATCATCCCACGTTCAAAGGCTGTTAAATCGCGTTGTTTACCCATATCTTCAGACAAAAATCACTTCTACTGTTGTGGTAAACAACCTGCTTCCCTATTTATAATGGTCTGGCACTCTAGCAACTTCAGCGCGAAATTATAGCTAATTACAGCCTATTTGCCTACAAACGTCAGGTGGTCATAATAATCTGGCCACTCAGTGTATAATGGCAGACTACTGCTGCAGAATCAAACGAGATTGCCCTGAGAATGTCCACAAATGCCAACAGCTACAAGCACAAATTCTTGCCTGAATAGGACATATTTGAACTTTGCATCCCATCAGTTGTTCTGAATCACCTCTCATCTTTATGTCAAAATATATGTTAATTTAAAGTAAAAAGCATTCGTGCATACTCATATTTGACTATAATGGATAAATGTTTCAGATTTGACGAGTGGAGATATACTGTATATTTTACTCCACACAAGTGATTGTTTTGCCTTTTTTCAAAATTGAATGCATATTGTGATGCACCTACATGTTTTTTGTGAATACATAAAGAATATATTTGCCAAGACAGTTGTTTAAGCTTAATTTTAAGACTGCAAGACCATAAATTCCTCAGATAGACCATGTAATAATGCGAGAGGTGTCAAAATTTCGTGAAAAATTAAAATGTTGAATTCCAAAAAAATCTAGAGCTTACAGGGAAAGACTAACTTCAGATTTTAATTCAACATATTAAAATTAGGTGAGAACAAATGCTGGTTTCAATGCAATAAAAAATGTGTTCCCCAGTATTATCAACGAAAATTAAAATAAGAATAATAATAATAATAATTAAAAAAAAAAATTGGTATGTCAAATTACTTAAGCCTCTGAACTAGTTGGCATCTAGGGGAAGATGGGGTAGGGCCTGTACAAGCACTGTAGCTTAAATTGTGTTAGATGCAAATGATATAATCAGTTCTATATACTTAATAGTTTGTATTGTATCAGTCGTTTTTCTGGTAATTGCAATATCTACCAATGTTTCTTCTTTATTAAAGAGCATTACAATGACCAATCATATTCAATGCTTCATTTTCAGAGCAGGCCTGAAGTTGGCTGCAACAAATGATATAGAATGTGATTTGTATAGCAACAACATACTTGTTATCTCTTGTGATGTTATCAGCATTGGCTGTCTTGAACTGCTCTTGGGTCAGTGTCCCAGTAGATGTGTTTACCGTCACTAGTGGTATGCCCTTTTGCCAGGTCCATGAATTCATGATCTCTCTCAGTGATGCTGGCAACTGAACTTCATCTTGATCATCTATAAACTTAGAAAATGGTATGTGCTGTTGACTTTGAATTAACAATATACATTAATGCTTTACTAATATTAGTTAAAGGACAAGTTAATGTTTTACCTAAAACCCACTGGTCCACCCTCCCCAGCCCCCTAACCTTAGATTGTAAGCTCCTTGAGGGCAGGGACTGATGTATATGTGCACTATGTAAACCGCTGCCTAAATTATTGGCGCTATATAAATACCTGTAATACTCTAATCTGACCTAGGTGAATATGAAATATTGTATATTAATGTTGTATAGTCTTCTTTCCAGTTAACAGGTGTAGCTCTAATCTCCTTTTCAGATTATTCGCATTATTACTTTTCAGCTACACTAAAAGAAGCTGGCTGTTTACAGAACTCAGTGAGCAATCGCTTAGTACCTGTTTACTTTTGAGCAGACAGAGCTATAAAATAAGCTGCTCTAAAAAGTTGCCTTTTTAGATAACCAGCCAGGCTTTGGGAACCCTTTGCATATTGTAAACGTAAAACAAGGATTGTATATAATATGAAAGTAACTTTGGGAAAGCCAAGCAAAGGACGCAATTTGGTCCCGAGAATATGGCCACATCAAGGCCAATTATGCCACGTCTGTGGTTTCTTACTATAGAGGAGGTAGCTGCCTTTACAGAGCTCACTCAAAATCCCAAATCCTTAAAGAAGCCTTGCCGCAGCTTTGGGTAAGTAAGACCCTTAAGATTAACATTGACCCAAAATCATTAAAGATTAATTTTAGGCTTCATGTACACTGGCATATTAAGGGTTATGGGAAGACCAGGTGCTGTGTGCGGCCACCCCTAGACATGAATGGAATAGAATATGCGATTATGTGCTGGTACTTGTGTATAGTGTATGGATGCAAACTTTCTGTATCTGGGAACAAGTCTGTATGTTATACCCATGTACAGCTGTGTAGAGCCAATTATATCTAGGGGCTGCTGTAACCCGGGTTTCCCGGGTGTGGAAAAAAGCCAGAATTTGTGTTGTATACCCCTTAATTTGTCTGTGTACATGAGGTCATAGCTGAATCGTCTTGGTTATCAATATTTAAATAGCATCTATTTCTCCAAGTAAAGTGTTCTTGCAAGCAGTTCTAAAGGTCAGTCTACCTAAAACTGTTTACATTTCTCTTTCTTTTTTAATGCCATTTTACAGCTGAGATTTTGGTGGACTAACCCTTTACAAGTTACAAAAATGTCCACTGAAATAAATAAAATGTGTGTGGGAAATGGCTATTATATCAGAATTTAGAACAAACTATCTATCTATGAGCAGAGCCTACCTATGTTACCAAGCAGGGCAAGTCTGCTGCCAGAACTTCTGGATTGTTTGACACAACACATACATGGGACATTTTAATGTATGATAGACTTGAAAAGAAGAAAACAATAAACGTAAACCTAGGGAACTTGGTAAATCCAGGGAACAAACACACATTCTAATTGATAAGCTATGCTTACAGGACTTCACAGTACATGTATATGCACTGTTAAACCTTCACCAACACTTGCTTGTAGGAACATAACTGCAATACTTCTATTACACACAGGAGTGTGTAGTCTCCAGTATAGACTGGAGTGTAATTAGAGAACCAGGGAAGAGCCAGTACATTTACATACAGAGGAAATTGCAGTAAGAGTATAATATGTAAACTACAATCTAGACAAGCTCTTTCAATCTCTGTTACTCTGGTCACCCATTGGACATAACTAGCTAAGAACTCCAATCTGCACTGTATAAAAACAGTAACATCTTAGTTTTAAAAGTGCATGTTTTTTATGTGTTCTGTTTAGTACATTTTCCATTAGCTTTTCCAGACACACGACAGATGTTGCACTCATCTGTTCCAATGAGCATGAGGAAAGAGAAATCATCTTTAAACTGCTGCATACTAAACCAAGGCTACTTTCTTTGATAAGGATTACTCATTAGTGATACTTACAGTTCTATACTGCTATTATTCATAGCAGGGCAGTGAGAATTCAATGTTTGGGATAGGGATTTACTTGAATGACATTAAAGTGAATGTATGACATTCAATGACATTTAGTGACATTAAACTCAGGAGTTAAATCCTAAAAATATATTCAAGTACCCTATTAACAAAAATGTATCTTATTTGTGTATCATTCGGCTGTAGATCTTCAAATCATCTCTGAATTGGTGCTGACACTGTCCTTCCTTCTGGAGGGTGCTTACTTTTGTTCCCCATGGTCCCTGTGTGTGTTGTAAAGTAGGCACTCCAAGCTCACTCCTGTGATCGACTATAATCAGTGGTGTATTTATGTATTTGGCTTACCTAGGCAAGCCATGACCCAGGAAGCAGTGAGATCGAGTAAGTGGCCGCCGGCTGCTTTTTGTTTTCTGAGTCACGATCCCATCCGTCGGCTGCTCTGTCCGGCTCTATCCGTCCTCCCACCCTCTGCACAAGCAGGCAAGCCGCCCTCCACTCCTACACACAGACGGGCTCCGGCTCTCCCCTCCTCTTCACAACATAGGCGTTTGACTACGACCGCCCCCCAGGAAGGTGCCGCCCTAGGCAAACACCTACTTTGCCTCGCGGTAAATACGCCCCTGACTATAATGTCAGCACAAATCAAGAAATAATGATTTGAGAATCTACAGCTGAGTGGAACACAAATAATCTACATTTTTGTAATAGTTAGTGTACTTGAATGCATATTTAAGATTTAACTCCTGAGTTTAGTGTCACTTTAAGTTTAAGGATTAATGTGCAGATTGCTTCTGCACTAAAACATGTGAGTTCCCTCACCCCGCTTCTAGTATGCCACAGTCTAGTATGTTACACGTGGACCTCAGATTCAGCACACAGCTTCCCACGGCCCAGACCTCTGCTGATCTGGGCAGTGTTTACATGCATTTTTTTGTTGCGTAGGTGATACTACAGGTTTTATAGAGATGAATGGGAGAGTTAAAAATCTTCCAACCGGCAATGCGACTCAGATCTGCCTTGGATCAATTGAATCAATTTGAATGATTGGTGATTCATGAAACAGAGATATCAGAAATTATACAGCACCAGCGTGAAGAAATATACTCTCACTATACTCCTAGTGGTCTGCAAGAGGACTAGATTCAGAGGGTTACAGAAAACTCAGATTAGTGTAAACTGAGTGAACATTCTAACTTCATAACAGATGAAGTGTAGCATAAGTAGCTCACTCACTGGTTTCCTGGAAATAATCTTGATATACAGAGTATAATGGCATTAGAGTGTTTTGTTAACTGGACATATCTTCACACTACCCCAATTATCAAGGCATCCAGTGCATGAGTGTATGCCAGCTATTATGTTCTAAACCTTTAGTAGCAGGGATTATTAATGGCCCTAGTGACGCTGCTGTACAGTAATACCATTACCAGGAATGCCATTGCCTTGTGATGGAAGATGAAAGAAGATGACTGACTCATTTAAAGTGACATTAAAGCCAAAAAATGTTTCCCCTCCCCCCCCCCCATGTAAATGTTAGCACTTACCTCAAATGATGTCTCTTATTCTGATCTTCCTCTTCTTTCCCCATGTTTTCACGTGTCCCTCCAGCGGTGTGACGTCACTCCGATCCAGCGCTGACTGCTCTGTCTCTCCGATCCAGCGGTGTCTGCAGGTGGGTGCACGCATCCATAGACTTACCTTGCGTCTCTGCTCCTCTCCCGGCCGAGAATCGGAACTGCGCATGCGCCCGCCCTGATTCTCGGCGCGGGATCGAGCAGCAATAACGAGGTAAGTTTAAAACCAGTTCAAGCGTTTTTTTTGTTTTTTTAAAACTTCTTGCCTATATCTACTGCTTGCTAGCAGTAGATATAGGCAAATAAACGGAGGGTTTAGAACCCCTTTAAGTTAAAAACCCAATTGAACCTTCAGTTGAAACCATCTGAGTACATTCCAGGTGCATTAGAACAAAAAGTGTGCACAGTCTTAGTTTATTTGTTTTCTAAAGCTACTACAGCTTGAGTGGAAAAGCCTACCCTCTGCTAGCAGCTGCAGAGTGGGATCCATGCTCTCTGTGGGAAAGCAGCAGGTTTGATAAGCCTCCTACTGAGTCTGACTTATAGCTTTGCAATCAGTAAAGCTCATAATCCCTGCTGATTGGTCAGCTCTGGCTCTGACTCAGCAGGGAAAATGTCAAACCTCTGAGAGATCACTGTTTCCCCCGTAGATAGCTAAGGTCCCACTCTGCAGCATGCTGGTAGGTTACAGGGTTTTCAACTCAGGCTGTGACTGCTTTACAAAGAAAATAAACTGTAAGCCATTGCACACCTTTTGTTTTAATACATGTGGAAACTGACAGGGTTATTTCCAAAAGGGTGAAGAGTGTGGAGAAGGCAGAAGTGGACAATCTAGGACAAAATAGCTGATTTGGAAAAATTCCCCAATTCAGCCCACTTTTCAGTTCAGCTATTTTGTCCTAGATTGTTCACTTCTCCTGACTTCTCCAAACTGTTCACCCTTTAGTGAATAACCCTGCGAATGTTCAATTCGGCTTTGAAGTAGAATATAAGTTTGCATTTTAATCCTCCCCCTCCACTTTAAAAAAAAAAAAAAAAAGCTAAACATTCTTGAATTATTTACCTTTTTTTTCTGCTATCCCTACCCTCCATGCCTCCATTCTCACCTAGGCAAAAAGGAAATTCCATTCTCCTTCTGCAGCCTCCTGGGATACTGACATTACATAATCCAGGAGGCTGCAGAAAGAGAATGTTTTCAATGCACACAAACAGACCCAGCGCCATATGGAAAGTATTGCCTCCTGGGATATGGGCCGTTGGTATCCCAGGAGACATTATTATCCTCAATTCATTGTACTGATAATTCAACAAGCATGTGTCTGCACATACATGAGATCTGGCACCACATCATGGGGGGGCAGCTTCAGTACAAACTGAATCCACTGGACTTGTAAGTATGTTATTACAGCGCAAAGGTAAGGAGGGAAAATAATTTCATTTGGGAGAGTTAAGTTCCTCTTTCAGGAAAAAAACTATTCTAGCATTACATCAATTTTTTTTCAAGCTTTGCTTAAGCAGTAGATCACAGTGACATGATCAATGTTGCATATTACACTGTTATAGAATTTGCTAAGAATGTCATGGCCCACTTCTACTATAAAAGCATCTCAACCTCATCCTGTAAAGTCAGATGTCCTGACCTGCATACTTTTTCTAGAGTTGTGACTCATTTATGTAGTGAGGATGGGAATGATGGCCTTGAAAATTGCACCATCAAAAACAAGTCTGCAATGGCCCAATATTTCTATGCTAGCAAGTTCTCTTTAACAAATTAGCAACACAACTTGATACTGTATTAAAAAGCAGATTTATACATTCAATTTACAATGCAGAGAATATGATTAAATGATTTACTGTATGTTATATAAGTGAAGGAAAATAGAAAAACATACCATTTGCATATGTTTCCACAGATCATCCTGGTCAGCATTTGAGAATGAAAATCTCTTCAAGTATGACTGTGATGAGACAAATGGAAGGTGCATTACTTCTTGAGGAGGTAAGCAGAGATCCATGTTGTATCAATTAATCAGCTGTGCCTGTCTAGTCTTATATTGCCAAAAGTTCAAAAATTCCAAAAATGATTTTCTAAACTCACGCTGATCCCTTTGATGAAGAGTCTCTCTGTCAGGAAGGTGGAAGCCATTCGGAGCAAAGCAGATGCCTGCAGCAAAGAGGACACGATAATTAATGATGTGCTAATGTTTTCAGTAGCATTCAGTGTAATCAATTTAGCTAATGACTTGCTGTAGCTAATAAAGATGACTTTCTTTAATTAGAATAATAATTTAAAGGACCAGTCCACCCAAAACCTGTATACTGTAGCTCACAGCTGGAACAAAGGTGGAAGGAAACACCCAAAGCTTTTACTCAGAAATTTGGGCAGGGGAAGCTTACTGTTGTACTATTCAAAATATCTGAGAAGCCAAAATCGAATGCAGTCCATCCTTTTTACCTATAGTTAAACATCACTTTTGGACCAATCCTTTAATCAGAGCTACTGACAGGCATTTTCTACTGTGCTCATGGCTGTGTGAGTACTATCTGGATGCAGGGTAAAAACACAGCCCAAAGACCAACAATAATTATCTCTGGAATGGCAATAGTCAGTGCTCATTTACAATTCCCTTAAACTCACCTTGGATCTGACAGGTAACACCTCGTGTGATCAAAGGTGACAGAAATGTCAATAGGTACTGGCAAACTGGTAATGAGAATTATAAAGTGGAAACACATCTTAGAAATAAGGAAACCTCAACTGTAGCCTTTGGAGGATGTAAATGCTCTAAACTGGCCATATAGATATGCCAGTTTTGTGGCAATTCAGGAGATTTCCCTCAGCTTACAATAAACCAAAAGAAAATCTGGAAATAAACAATCCACAGCAATTGTGGACCTACTGTTTCTCCTCTTAAATTTTATTGAGCATAAAGAAGGTAGCTATAGAAGCAGTACAATATTCAAAATAAAACTCAACAAAAGTACAGAAGACATTGTAAGGAAAAGGGGCCAAGAGAAAGGAGGGGGGAATAACCACATAATACACAATTCAGAAAAAAACTGAAAATGAAATTCAAGCATCTTTCCTATAACGAGAAAGTCAAACAAGCTGGTCATATCTCCTGGTACAGCACAAATGTGGTTGTATGTGTATCAATAAGCTATGTGTTCAGTAGGAACCTATAGCTCCTAACAAGGAAGAGAAAAGAAGAGAGACAACATGAAAAATATGGAAACATAAATAGGTAGAATAAGGGAAGATGAGGACTGGGAAGATCAGATTCCTGCATATTAGGAGTACAGAGGATTCAGAAAGAAACCACAGAGTGAGATAGTAGAGTGGCAGGACACCGGACGTGTCCTGCCAGACGTACTTCCGTGGGTGGGGAGCACCCCCTCCCTACTGGGGGGGAGCGGCCATTATCTAACAGATCTCTCAAGAACAAATCCAGGGCGTATGTTAGCGTCTAAGTGGAACCTGATTTAAGTCTCGCATAGAAGTCACCACTACAAAAATGACTCCATGGATTCCACAATCTAGAGAATTTGACAAGTTTATCTTGCTTAGTGAAAAGGAGTTCCTCCATTTCAGTAATACAATCTAGCTGATGAACCCAATCGGTTATCGTGGGAGCCCTAGTGTTCCTCCACAGCCTGGGTATCAGTGATCTGGCTGCATTTATCAGATGCTTGCTAAGGGATTTCTGCGGCCCCACGACCTACTATTTCTAACAACAAAATGGCTGGAATGACTGTAGACATGTATCTAAACCATCTGATGCCAGTTGATGGGCATTTTGATCAGCCTACAGCCCATGTTTAAAAATCTAGTAACATGGAAATGGTAAAAACATAAGTGACAGGGTCAGTTATGAAGGATCAGATTTACCAGGAGCCCTGTGCCTGGAGACAGCAGAGAAAGAAACTGCTTTTTCCTGTATATTTAGTTATTGGCATCACCTTTTTTTTCTACATAATAAATAGAATACAGTCATCTCATATAAGCTTATTTACACAGTGTCAAAATATTCAAATACAGGTTTGGCCCATTAAAAGAAAAAAAAAGTAGAGCTAGTTGGATATTATTATTCACGCCAAATGTGTGTTTACAGGCTCCAGCAATGCAAATGCAGCCCTGAATCCATGCAGTCAAGTTTTAATTCAAAAGCTGATGGAGTTTCCAAAACTACACATGACCAACATAAGGCTGAGACTAACTGTAAGTTTCTCTTATGCACCAATCTGTGTACTAATAATACATTAAGTACAAATACATTTCTCACATTCTTTTTTCTTTCCCCTACTCAATGCTTGAACCTTTTGAACAGGGGTTCCTAACTGAGGGTATCCATACCCCTCGTGGGTATGGGAACCAAATAATCAGGTAATGAGGCTGGATCTCTACATAAATTAAAAGACATCGCTTTTATATTAGATTTGAAAAAATATAATCGTTATATTGATAGTGATGATTTTGACATTCTGGTCTGGGGACATATTAGGTCGTCGACTGTAGGTTTGTAATTTTAAAGAGGTTAAGAACCCCTGATCGTGAAAGCCTTTGTTACAGATTAGCTCCCCAGCAACAAGCTGACTGTTTGTGTATGTTATGTCAGCAGTTCAGATTTTGCAAAGCTATTAATTACAGTTCTGATAGCAACAGTGTGACATATCTTACCTTGTCATATGTGAATTCATCAAATAATAGCATTATATCATCCACATTATCAATGTCTTCTGCTTTTACTGATACAGCTCTGGCAGTTGCTCGGGCATCTCTCTCAAAAATATTTATCAGGTTGTGCACCATAAAAAACTCATTCTGCATATAAAACCAACATTATTTTTAATGACAGATTGATATTATTTATGTCATTTAGGCAAATGGTAAAGTATGCAGTATATTGTGTGTGTTTGCTGTTTCTGCAGATATAACACTGAAAGGGTAATGAATCATACTGTAGACTGGGCCAGATTTCAGTTGTGCCTTCACCTAGACCACTTTTTACACATATAGTTTATACTACCTAGTGTATCAAAGGCTTGTCATTTTTCTTCAAGAAGCTGTCTCTTCCTTAGCATTAACACTGGGTAGATCTCATTATTCTCTATGACCAAGCAGTATGCATGCACATGTCTTAAAAGACCTACTTACCCCTATTTTTTTACTTACCTTGCTCCTGATGGAAGATAATCTTCTGTCAAATCCTGTGATAGCTTCCTTGTCTTCCAGTGGTGCAGATAGGTGGAGTCTGGAGGGCTATGTCTGGTATGCACACCCTTAAGTACTAGCGAGGGGGCATTCAGGTGATACGTTACCTAGCGTATATATTGCCAGCTGGGGTGACCGGTCTCCTTAACAGGAAATGCTGCCTCAATCAAAGTTACCAGGCAGCCTATCCTGATGTTTTAGGGCAGAAATTAGTAAGTTACAGTAGAAAAAAAAATGGGAAATTATAAAGTCGGGGCACTTGTTCCATTTTTTTATTTGAAAAAAAATTGTCTTGAGAACAGCTTTAAGAGATGCTTGGATTCCTGGAAGAGGCCAATACTACACAAGCCGTTGACTTAATGGGAAGCCAACATTTCTGTTTCTAATCACCAGAGGTATATATGAACATATCAATGATTTTTGTCAAGACTGATATCCTTCTTTAAATGTTTTTTGATCATTGAAGGATTATTTTTCAAAATTATACTGTCTTGTATTTGAATCTCGGTTGATATAATGCATGTCAGATCATATAATGTTCCTCTAAAAATTACCTCAACAATACTCTTCCGACTTTATCCTTAAAAGGGCCAGTCAACCCAAAAAGTGATATTATAGTTATAGTTAAAAAATGTTAGGTTTGGTCACCTCTCACTGGCTTTTGTGAGCATGTTGTATTCCAGCTGTTCATGTTGTATTCTCCATACTCAAAATAAAAAATAAAAATCCAAGAAAGAGAATAAGGCCTCCTTATAATGGCTGCAGCAGATGTGCAGACATGAGAAATTAGTCACAGAGATCTCTCCAGCTCACTCCACACAAAAAATGATATCCCACATTCTGGTAGCCAATTAACCTAACAGTTTTTTTTATATCTAAAAGAGACTCCAGTGGTGAGAACTCTCTCACCAATACGATATCTCAAGTCTGCAGATCCGCTGAAGGCATTACAAGGCCCATTCTCCTTGTAGGATTTTGATATTGCATTTTTGTATGGCGAATGCAAAATGAATAGTAGGAACACCCCAAGGATGACAGGAAGAAAGAATGAAACTAATGAAGGAAAATGCATACTGGAGTTTCTAAGAAAAATAAGCCAATGAGAAACTGAACCAAATAATCCAACAATAATGAAAACAGAATGGAAATAAGAAAACACAATGTGATAAAATATTACTGTCAATGAGGTGAAATCTTAGCACACAGTATCATCTGACATGCAGATACAAGACCATATCATTTTCAAAAATAATCTCTTAATGAAAACCTTTATGTTTTTTTTTTAAAATAAGAATTGCTGACACTTTCCCTTCAGGGGCCTAATTATTAATCCACTTCATTTCTTTCGTGGTATTGGTCAAACACATCTTGCTGCCCGAGACATGGTAGAATGAGGCATCTATTTGTACAAACTCCACCTCACGCATCATGCAATTACAGTATTTTAAAGTGACACTAAACTCAGAAGTTAAACCTTAAAAATGCATTCAGGTACCTTACCTAATAACAAAAATGTAGCTTATTTGTGTATCACTCGGCTGTAGTTCCTCAAATCTTCTCTGAATTGGTGTTGACAATGTTGTTTCATCTGGAGGGTGGCTACTTTTGTTCCCTATGGTCCCTGTGTCTGTTGTAAAGTTGCCACCACTCCAAGCTCACTCTTGATGTGGACTACAATCTCACATTTAGTTTACAAATTTATATTGAGATTGTAGTCCCACTTTACCCTGCTGCCATTGGCACTGGTGCCATGAGTGGCATTATGGCAATAAGAGTCCGGTCTTCTATAATAAATGTTTACCTCTGTTTTTATTACAATTCAGTGTAAAATGGATATAATGTCGAGAAAATATGTTCATCCCCATATTCCTGTCCTGCTGTAAGCAGAGTAGTACTGTAGGATTTTTTTTTTTGGCCATATACAAAAAAGTTGTTTACATAGAGAGACATGTTCTTACTAGAAATGGCACAGCAAGCTCCGGCAACATGCAAAAGAGATAAATAGCTGCAAGCTTTCACATACCCACTGTTCATTTCCATTTCTAGGTGAATACCTAGTGCAAAAATCTAGAAAAAAACTACACCCTGCTATGTTAAACAGAGAACCTCCATAATTGTCCATAAATGCAGCATTGCAAATGTCTTACACTGGGAAAATGTGCCTGAAATTACTTCCATTTATATACCAACCCCAAAGATACACTTGTCATATTCTGTGACCCCTTTTAACCAGTTTTCAGTGCGTGAATATTTTTCTGATCGCCACTTTTATATAAATACTTTAAATAACAGAGTTTATGTTTTAAATGTCTGTTCATCGCACAAACCTTCATATGAGGAAAAGTTCACAGTCCACTTTACAGGAAAATTGATCATCGGTTCCTTCAGCTAATAGATCAGCATGTTACTATAACTTTTTGTTACTTTTTTCTCAAATAAAATAAATAAACTCTCTATACCAACACATTACTAAAACCTGCAAGATTACTCTGGTGGTACAAGTAGTTTTACAGAAACCTCCAATTCTGTCTCAGATAAAAAGCCATGAAAAGGTATAACAGATATTTTGCTCTTTACCAAGAAAGAGCTCAGCCATCAATCCCACGTTTTTAGAATTTAAGGTAGGCTCCCTAGTTTTAAAATAAGCTTATAACAAGGCAGGTAAGAATTTTAACAAACACACCCACTGTGGTGTCATTGAAAAAACCAAGTGTTTACATTTAATGGATAGTAATGGATGTAAATGATGATGGATCTCTATGCTGGGCTACTTGGTAATTAAAATTGCTATTTGTAATCTCATGTACTGAATATGTTTATATTAAAAGGTACTTTTGGAAGTAGGTGAAAAGTGTCCCACAGCAAGATGTCTACACCTCAGTGCCTAGCAACACTCTATTGTCCTCCTCTGTAATGCCTTTAATGTCCACCCTATTTTCTTGCCAACTGGATTGTGTCTTGCTGACTGGATTATGTATTTATGATCTTACTGTACTTTATAAAGAAAGTAGGAGGTAGAGTAAGACACGCTTGCAGGTTTACATAAAAATAATAGGTCCATGGTAGGACCAATATTAGGTAGCTACATGCAGTTGTTTACCTGCGTCATGTATGATAATGTCATTCAGCTTATTGGATGTCTGCCTCCTCTTTCAAAATTAAGCCTTTCAAAGAACACATCTGGTTCAAACGTCACTTCTGTGTATTGAACACGCAATGCAATTTAGTGAAAACTGATACCCACCAATTTCAGTTTGGGGTCAACCAGGCTAGCCCCTGCGTATTCCATGTAAGAGGCAAACCCTTCATTTAGCCATATGTCGTTCCACCACTTCATGGTAACAAGGTTTCCAAACCACTAGATTAGAAAGAAAACATGAAATGACAATGGCTTGTATGGTGCATGTGTTGATATTATAAGATACATTATAATATTGCTTAGGGGATCAACACACCCAAAATTGATATTTCAATTCTTCATAGATGCTAAAAAGCTTAACCTTGTGAGAGTTTATTATATCTCTCAAGGAAAATTCTGCTCTTAAATTCCCATGTTTGTATACCCACAGAAGCCTTCATAAGATGTTTCACTGTCCTTCTTGGATTCCTGGGTAAGAACACCAGAACTTCAAGAAGGGTGGGAGCAGAGCTAAAAACAATGGCAGAGAGATCTAACTGCTTGGCCTCAAGAGATACACAGTATTAGCATTCCAGAATAAAACTATAAATATAATATTAGTGAAATGTCCAAGAAAAGCAAAGTAAATTTCAGTTATTTGAACATGAAGAAGTGTGTACTTCTGCAGCTCTTTTTTAAACTACAGTCATCTGGACTATTGATACACACAGGGCTATTTGCGAAAGGGTGAAGAGTTTGGAAAAGGTAGAACATATCTAGGACAACATAGTTGGATTGGAAAGTCCCAGATTGTTCACTTCTCCTGCCTTCTCCAAACTCTTCACCCTTTTGTGAATAACCGTTATAGTGTTTTTATATAGATCTGTTATCAATAATCTATGGCTGTGCTGCAATGCTACATTTCACCTGTAGGTCTGTAACTAAAGCTGCACGTCTAGTGGAAATGAAAAATCTGTGTATGAGTATGAAGTGGGAAAGTCTGAATAACTGGGAGGATCTGGCTAACTGATTTCAACTTACACAGAGTTAATATCTTCAGTCCAGGAGCAGTTTCTGACAAGGCTTTGGGATAGTTAACCACCTACTACACCCAAATCTAATTCAGCCGATTTATTACAGTAAAATATATGTGCAAAGAACAAGACAAAGACAGGCATCCGGTGAGAAAAAGTTTATGCGCCCATAACAATTTTTATGGATTATTGAATCACCTGGATTCTAAATGTGTTGTGATCTTCAATTAAGTCATAATAACAAATAAAGGCAATCTAACAAACAAAACCCACACCATTTTACATTTGCCATAACTTAATTAAACAAACATTTTAAACTATCAAGGTAATTGAGGGAAAACATTGAAAAACTGTTAGATAACAATCTCTTGTACAGATGGTAATTTTAGTCAAGTGCTCCAATCAATTAAATAATGAATTCTAGTTAACAGAGTATAAATCCCATATGTTTGTATTTTGTAAATGTCTAACTTCAATAGACTGCTTAGAATAAAGGCACTCCATTTCAGTGGTCAGGGCATTTAAGTTACCCGTAGACCTATGAGGGAGGTTGAATGTATATGCATGATCTGACCAACCTTAGGTAATGGAGTTGGGTGGTGAGTACACCGACATGACCTCTCTGTTTAGCCTGGCATCCTTTTTGTTGCTGTACAGTACAGTTATAATAGACAATGAACACTACTTGCAGACACTGCCATTGCCGCTTTCCTTACAGTGATAGCAATCGGGATGGCTTTTGTAACCTGGTCAATAAACTGTTCCTACAGACAGCAGCTGTCTACTGGAGTCAGAGGCTTTCTAGTTACATGAGACCACATGAGTTTTTTGCATGAGACCATCATGCAAAAAACAGTTGAATCAGGTGTCTATTATTTCTTATCGGTGATACCCTTATTTTGCCATTGTGAAATATGGAGTGTCATCTCCAACTGAGTATGCAGCTTTACTCTTCTATTTTGGATTTTTACCATTTCGGTTAATGAAACCCTGTTTGACTTTTAGAATAGAGACAGACTCCATAATATTTTGCTGTGGATTTTTTTACTACTGCTTGAGTGCATTAACAAAAAGTTTTTTCCTCAGTTGCCCACAAAACACTGTTCCTGTAGTGTTGTAGAACACTCAAGGTTTTTAGCACTTAAAGAAAAACTTTACCCTTATCTTTAAAATGACAACAGTGCAACCTTTAGAACTGTTTAGTATTGACAATCTACAAACAGATACTTAGAGATAATTGCATACTTTATATTGTTTGTATACCGTATCTTTCTTTTCCTCCTCAGTCTTTTAATGGTGGCCATTTTCACTAAGGGCAGATTGAGATATCTCTCTTTGCTTCCTGGAACTCTGGGACATGTGACTAGAACATGTGACCATGCACATCGTCTCAGGAAAAAATGCCTTTCCCTGAGATCTCACAAGTTTTTATAGAAGTTTACCGATGAGATTTCCCAGCATGTACCTATATACTGCAGCTGTAACCTTCCCAGGATACGTCTGTTAGGCATAGGCTACATCGCTAATGCCTAAGAAGACCAGGAAGTGGAAAATCGGTAATTGTAAGTAAAATAAGAATATGAATGTAACATGATTTCATATCAGCATACAGAGCTGAATACCGAGTTGGCTTTTAGTGAAAGGGAGTAAAGGTACACTTTAAGACAAACTGTGGTGTATTTTTTTTGGGGGGGAGTGGCTTTCTCAGTGGTAACTTTACATAAACACCTTTTCTTTAGTGTTTTCCTTTAGTGGACTAGTGGACTCAGGAAATCAGAGTGTTATCCAGTACAAGAGATGCATGCATGTCTTTAGCTTTTACCCTTGGGTTCTTTGTCACCTATCTCAGAGCTTTACAATGTTGTCCTTGGGCTGATCTATATAGGACACCCATCCTTAGAGTGAATCTGTGCTTTTTAAATGCAGGGCAAAGCAACACTTAAATACCCACCCTACCCCTGCATATACTCTGCTTTTCTTCACTCATCTGCAACTCCATTTGCTGCTGGGAGAGAAAAAAAAAACCTGATGCTTCAGCATATTGAGATCATGTGACTTCCTCCGTTCCTCCCATGTGACCGTGCATTTGCTTGGTGATTGGCCAAGCACTGTCACATGAGGGCAGGGAGAGAGTCCTCATTCCTGTTTAAGCCAGACCTGAAATCCAAATGAAGCTCACACTGGACTTCTGGATATCTTTTTTTTATTGTACTATACTGAAAGTTACCACAATTCTGTTGGTAACCATAGTTATTTTATCAGTTCTTTATATGACAGGGTCAGTTAAGCCCACATCTGCATTAAACAGGAATTCTTTACTCCAGTTAACCTCTTTTCAGCATATCATTCAAATAATTTTTTTCTTCAGTGGCCTTCATTATAACAATAAACATAAGCCATTATTTTGCAATGAGTAGCTTCTGAGATGGTTTTTGATATTACTTAAATACTTTACTAATAGATCAATTATTATTTTATAATGTATGGCCCTGAGATTGCATTTATAGCTGTTTGTATAGTTCAGGACTGCAATTATTTTGATTTTAACAAGCCAAATGTTTGACTCGGGAATTAGTTTTTTTTTAATTTAAGATGAGTGCTTATGGTTGTTCTTTCAAATTCTCAGGCTGAACCAACTCACTGGCCACATGATCACGCTCTACAATGACAACATAATTTTCAGCCAATCAACATTCATTCTCATTCATACTCAATAACAGCATGATTAAAAAGATCTGGGACATTTTACCACATGCCTGGTGTCCTATCTCATGGGCAACAATCAGAGAAGTCAATGCCTTAGAAGTGCTGAACTTTTGATCTGGGTTATACATCAATGAAGTTTCTTGAAAAGTAATTAATCCCCAGTTTTCCATTGCACCAACACCAAGGTCAGGCATTGCTACAAAATCTAGAAGAGAAGAAGATAGGGGTTTACCAATACACCAAGTTAAGCAAGGTAAGACAACAAGAAGTGTATTTTGTCACAGTTTTGCCTCTATTTCTGCTCTAATGACAACCCAACCCCCACACCCCCACACGTAGACCTGCCACGTTCCCCTTGTAAGGCAAAGTGACAGGTTCCAATATTAGGTTCTCCTTCCTGCTTCCGCTGATGGTTACATTCAAAGTGTTTTCCTGCAGCTCCATTTTCCTGCTCAGCCCTGTGATATACTCATTACTTCTAGGTATGGAGAAGCATGATGGAGTGCTCGCATGATGAAGTGCTCAACGCCTGAGCACCCAAACACCAATTCTGAGCACTGTCATGTAGGGGGAAGTTCACAGTGTAAGCTCTAGCACAGATTGACATGGCGCTTACCACAGGGCTTTTTACTCAGGAAGTCAACAAAAGAACATGTTGGCAGAGGAGCTAAGAGAGGGCAGGTATCAGTAGGAGAAAAGAACCTGACACTTTGCCATAGGCAACTGGTTTACATTAACACTTAACCAAACAATAACCCCCTAAACCCCTCAAAAAGTGCATATTTATCAGTGCCAAAATTGCCCAGTGCCACATCCTTACTGTCCACATGACAAGATCTTACAGCTTCAACATCTTGCCAACAATAGCAAATAATTCAGAAAGTGATATAGATTGGTACCAGGACAACATGCCCAACAGGATTGCACCATTTTAAGTTATTTTTATTTATGTATGTATTTACTTATTTTAATATCTGTAATCTACTTATAACATACATAGGACCATACTTACCTGTTTTCTGCAGTGGATATGAGACATTCAGAAAATCCTCCATAAATGAAAGTATTGGTCCTGCAATGGCCAAAGCAAAGTTTGCATATCCTTTTTGTACTACTTCCTTTCTTGCCCAAATTCGTATCTAAAGCAACGCAAAATATAAAAAAAGAAATAAAAAGAATACAATAACTCATTACAATATTTTAAAAGCTAAGATATAATTAAGTAACATACATGATTAGTTTACCTGTATGAGCCTAAAATATGCTGCTTTTTGTATATTTAGCATTTTGTAACCAGCTTAAACCTATGATTTTTTAAATCATTTTTAATAGATTGCCAATACTCATAAATCTCTGTAGGATTAATGTTACACAGGTGACATAGGATGGTGAAATACATCCTTAAGCAGGAACATGTTTTTATAATGAATATGAATTGTCAACTTATTCTGTACTAGTTGCATTTCTTCCCGCATTTGAAGAGTGTTATGTTTTGCCCTGACACGTGAGAAAGGTTTCTGTTTCTTTGTGCTGCATTGGGGATGTATGAAATGTCAACTTGCATAGTATGTGAACCTTTTGGTGAAATGCCAAGTTGGAATCATCCCAGCAAAAATCTGAGAATGCTTACATATAAACAGAAGATATGATTTGTCCAAATGCATTACTGCTAGAAACAGACCTTTCACAGCCATGTGCCATGTTTTTGTAATAAAATATGGTGCCCAAAAAGGAGCTTTCTGTGTTCATTCTTGTTAAGTGGTTACCATTAACTTTGTATTGGGAGTGTATTCATCCGCATGCTACAGACATGGACGCAGGGCCGACCTTAGGCCTTTAGGCGCCCTGTGCGAGAAAGTTTTACAGTGCCAATGCTCCTAAGTGGCCACATTCCTCAGTAACCACACCCCTTAGTGACCACACCCCTCAGTAACCACACCGCTCACTGGCCACACCCATTTCTCCAAAACCCGCACCATTTAAAGACTCCCATTTTGTTAAGCCCCAAAAAAACTAAATAAAAAGTATGATAAAAATAAAACTTTTATTCAAAGGTACTAAACTGGTAAGCACAATATAAGTATTCTTATTAAATAAAACAACTGTAGGCAAACAAGTGGTAAACAAGAAATGTCAAACAAAAATAGAGTCTATAAAAATAAAGTGTCAGGATGTCATGCAGACAAGTAAGTGCATCTAGAAAAGTAAAAATAAAAAACAGAACACAAAACATAGACTACATGTTAAACTAATTAATTACTATATGCTGAAATATACAAAAAATGTATTCAAGCACATAATAATTTGTTTGTGAAAGCGCAGCGGCCATGTTAGCCACCGCCTCCAAGTGCCACCATCTTGGAGGCGGGGAGCATGACGTCACATGACGCCATGCATGTGTGGAGTCAGTTGATGTTACACGCCGGTACAGTCGCCACCATCTTGGTGTATACGCCCAACACGTGTGGTGTCATGTGACATTATGTGGCGGTGGCTGAATCCAAAGCAGCATAAAAATTTGTTTTGTTTGCTGAAACGAACTAAAACATTTTTAGTTTTCGCTCATTTTATCCTAAATGAATTCTCACATGTCTAATAATATGTGTGTGTGTTTGTGGGGGGGGGG